CTACTGAAAGCAATGAGTAAAACTTTCCACTTGACCCCTGTGAGGTTCGATTAGGTGGTATCTGTAGAAGATGTTAGTTGCAACATGCAGGTCCTAGAATAAAGACATCAGGTAGCTAAAACAAAACAGTGCTGAATGAAACGCCTATCACTCTACTGTTTTTTCACTACGCTGTTCAAAGAATGTATTGCTTTGGGTTAGTTTTTCTTTTTATTCAAAGATTACAGTAAAATTCTTCATTATTTTGACTAGTGTGATTCTGCACATGGCTTTCATAATTTAAGATCCAAATTCATTGTTACTTTCTCTACATCTTCTGCTTCAGAAACACAGGTTATTTTTAAAGAAAAAACTTTGCCAGAAATGTAAAACCTTTTGTCTCTTACAGCTATGTGAATCAGTTTATTAATTAATTATAATTACCTGATTTAGTTACACTAGGCACAGATTCTGACAAAGACTGCATTTCTGCAAAACAAACTTAAATTCAATGGACAAGCCTGGATTATGTCAACACAAGGTTTACACAAACAGCACTCCACTGTTTTCGTGGTTTACTTCAATAAACTTAAACAAATCTTATTGCTGCAGTTTTTGCTTCCCTAATGAGTCAAGGCCTTACATCACACGCAGAAAGTTCACTGGGGTTGCTCTGGGCTGACAATTTTATCTCCCTTTGAAACATTTTATATAAAATCTAAGAAAATAGCACAGCTGAAGAATAACAGTAACTCCAGGATTTGCAGAGAAATGCACTGAGGAGATCTGCTTTTATAGTTTGAGGAAAAAGCCTCAGAAGCAGGAAATGATGGTTTGCATGATTCACTACATGCTGTCTAAGGGGTTTTTCCCAAACTGTTTTCACCAGGAATCCTTATCAGAATTCTTTCTTCTTTACTGACTAAATGCCAGCAGCTGTGAAAACACATCCTTGTTATACATAGTTGCAATTTTTACAGAGTGTGTGGAATACACAACCTCCAGGAGCTGTCAATCATCCTCACACACTTGAAAAATGGGTTAAGGAAAAGAAGAATTCAGAGGATTCAAGTTACTACATATACTGTGTGATTGCAACATATGACGTAAAGGCCATCATTTTCCAATTATGCATATGCAAACAGATAACTACTGTATTACAGATAACTACTGTATTTAAATATGCCAGTATCAGAATTTAATACTGCACAAATAAAAACTGACCACAATAGCCAGCATTAATTTTAAATTTAATCCAGCATGTGGGTAGTTCTAATGAAGTCCAAAGTGCTTCACTGCCTTGAAATTTCTTGGGAGTTATGTTAACGAGATATCTTGAACTCTATAATAGATATATTTTTCTTTTTAAGTAAGGTAGCAAGGCAGGTGGATATTTATTTTTAAAGAACATTTTATACTATTTTCTGAGTTAGGATGAGTTCTTCTGAGCAAGGGTGTAAGAGAAGAATTACGGAGTTAAAATCTTATGTGTGCCCATACCTGCTGGCTGAAGTGCTACAGCAGAGTGCAGTTCATAGCATTTCAGAAGCTGCAAGTGAGTGCCTCCCCCAGCTTGTCTCCAAAATCTTTAGTCAGGAAAGAGTATGAGTTAACTTTAGAACAGTATCTGTTACAGGAGATGACAATGTTAAATTCTAATGATGGAGAAATGTTTATTACACTAATACTTATTCTTCATGCAAGGTTTCTAGCTGAAATTCAAAACAACAGTAAAAAATATATTACTACTAAGACAAATGTTGCCAGTTACTTAATTAAGGAATTACCAGTGGGAAGCTCTGTCACAAACACATAAGGAAAGGAGGATTAAAAGAATCAGATTCAAACCTGAAGAAATTCTAACAGAACCAGTTGCATGGCCCCAAGTAAAGCCTGTCCCATAGTTTCCCTTAAAAGAGTGGAAATTATCTGTAGAAATATTCCTCCTCATTTAGCAACCAAGAATCCACAGGTAAGTTTAAGCAAGCATGAATAGTGAAAAACACGCATCTGAAAGAAAGCCACATTTATGAAGCATTAAGCAATAGCTGTAAATGATGAACTAAAGCATGCACACAGTCACAATACACATCTGTCTCAGGTCTAAATGGTACTATTGCTCAGAACAATTACTGCAACATTTGCCCGTTTATAAGCCCAGCTCCACATCATCACTGATAAAGCAGTGAAAACAAGTAACTAAAACCCTAGTACCATTTTCATGCTCAGTATGTTTTTATTGCTGGTAACCCTCATCTTGAGACTGCAACTGCCTTTGCTTCTGAGAGTGGGAGACACAGGTACTTCCAATTGGCAACTGGATGTTCTGGGGTAACAAAGTTATTTATAAACATGTCTCACAACTTGGTTTTCTTTTGCTGGGTACCTTGTTTAAGTGCCCTGGATTAATGGACATTTCAGTACTGCAGCATTTATTTCTTGGTTTCTCACCCAGAAATAACAGACAGTTTTTCCTGGTTCTGCATAGGTGCGATGAGAACCAGTCGTTCCTCTTAGTGAAAGCACAGAAGCCAGAAATGTGCATAGTACAGGATCTCACAGTCTGATAAATACTGCTAGAGAATGTAAATTCAATTCTCAGGACTAAAAGCTACAAACACAGCAACACTGCCCCTTCCCTCTACACACCAGTCAAAACCATGCAGCAGTTCCCTCATGCTCATGTTCTCTAGTCACAAGCATTTGCCAGTTTGGGAAGAACTAGTGCAAGTAATTTTAGGATTTAAAATTACTTCATCTACATTTGGTTCTACAGCATGTTACTGTTTCATACACACATACACCTCTCTGTTGGTTTTGCATAGTCCAGAGCCTGGTTTTTATCAACCTGAATTGGCACCTAAATTAAATTGCTGGAGTCCGCATTCTTGTGCACAGTAACACATACACACCATTTTGTTTTACTGACTGGAAAAAGTTATCTCTGGGACAGCAGTAGCTTCTCAAACCAGAGAGCTGAATTTACTACTAGTGCTCTCCTAATTCCTCAAGAAGCCCACAAGCAAATAAGTTGTGACTGGGATATTAAGGAGGAAATAATTCTGCACATACATGTCTTCCATAGATGTAGCTTTTTTCTGTATCACGTATGAGATGTAAGCCAATTTCTGTACACACTTACAAACTAAATTCTCTTCAAGAACTGGGAAGTGCAACTTGCTCCACACTCATACCCAGTATCAGTACTAGAGTTCCTGGATGTGCCACTTTGCACTAATGCATACATCCATGATGCTGAAATCTCTCTTATTGTGTATTAAATAATTAATAGCATCACAACTTTTAGTCACATACTATTATACACTGGCTTTCAGGAACTGCACTACCTATGATTCTATTCTTGTTCACAAAATGTTTGCTATTGATGGTGTTCTGGAGAGGGCTCATCAAATTACTAATGCAACTATTAAAGCTATCAAATTACCAATTTTGAGGGATCAATTCAAAGCACATTAAGATAAGCAGAAATCCAAAGTAAACAAGGATGTATCTCTTCCCTTCAGTGACTCTCTTAACAGGTTTAGAATGCTGAACTCTCATCTTCCTGATGATATTAACCCCTTGTTTGGATGACCCTCGCTGGCCAATGCACTTAAGTAGCTATTTCGGGGCTCACTAACTGTTCTGTTTTGTAGTTTGGAATTGCAGGGGTGGATGGAGCGGGTGTGGGAGGGGAAGATGAGGAAGAGCACTGGGTTTGTGTTTATTTTGAGAGACCAGGGGAGAGACGGCTTCCTGATAATATGCTTATTTTTGTTCACATTGTCACTATGTTTTCCCATGAACAAATATTTATACTTGAGAGGAAGTGTTTCAGAAACACATATCAGGATAAGTAAAGCGTTCACTTCCTTTTCCTTTATTATGAGAAAGCAATTTGGTTACATGAGAAAGTAAATAGATTCCCTAGGGATGCCTGGGAGGGGGGGAAGGGGTCAGTCTTGCAGGGAATCCATTCTCAAAAGTAGTTGCAGCATTTCACTGTCATCTTTAGAAGCTTCATATGTGACTACAAGAAATGAATACGTCAGGGAGATATTGTTTCCTTCATTCAGGGGGGAAAAAAAAAAATCACATTCACATCTTGCAATCTTAATTAAAATATTTTCCTTTCAATAAATTTTAGAAGCATGTTATGGTCCTATCTGCATTATTATAATGTACACTTAATACATATGGCAAAATATAAATTCATTTTGTATTGTTTTTGAACATTAATTCACTGATTTTGAACTTTAATTCACTGATCTTTATAGTCTGAATTTCATTGACTACTGGCAAATTTGAGCAGGAAATTAGACTACATCATTTCCTGAGGTTCCTTTACAACATGAATTTTCCTGTGATCCTAACTAAATTCAGGGGATGTATTTGTTGGTTTTTTTTTTACTTATTCTTCCCTAAGAAACAGCAGAGATCTAGCTCAGTACAGAAGAAGCTGGGTATGTGATTTGGCAAAAGCATTATTATGTGCCTGTAATTCAGGCTACCAACAGCCCAACCTATATTCAGACTGCGCAGGCCAGAAGGGAGGGATGCCTGATTGCATTAAGGAAAAAAAAGGAAATAGAAGTGAGATAAACTCTTTCTTCACCATAGGACTTCATTCTTTTTCTCTGTCTACAGTTGCTCTAAGTATTCTTTATTCAAAATTTGACTTAGCAGCTTCTATTTCTCTGATGCTTCATTCAAAAGCTGGATATTAGGCCAAATGCTACTATGTGTAGAAGCTGCCCATTGCACTAAGTCTGGAACAACACAGATCCCTTATCCATTTCTTTTTATCTGGAGGAATAACCACATGAAGTTGAATAATTCTGTAAGTGAAAGGATTAATCCTAGGACTCTCACTTATTACTTCTAGTGCAAAGCTCTCAAAGTTATAGGTGCTATAACTTGAAAACACATGGAAAAAAGCAGCTGGACAGAACAACAGTGGCAACAGCAATACAAAGCAAAGGAAATCCGCTTTACTTTCATTTCTCTTTAAGAATACTTACCTCACCGGAGAAAATAATATTCATATCCATTTTTAACTGCTTGATTAGGATCAGAATTCCATTAAAGGTATTTCATGTCTTTTACCATGGCTTTCCTGAAGGGAAAAGTAGAGAGGGGAAAAAAAAAGACCATAAACCTTACAATTTTCAACCTAAAGTTGTAAAAAAAAAAAAAAAAAAAAAAAAGACATTCTATTTATCATATTTTATACTGTAAAGCAACACTGCTTAGTCAACAAAACAGTCTTTCAAAGTTCCAAACATAAGTAAACTGAGTATCTGCACTAGAACACAAACTTTTCACTCCAATGCACTGGAAAAATCATGGGTACAGTTGAGATTTTGAGCATGTGGCAATTGATACACTTCTCTTTTTTTTTTTTAAAAAAAGCTTTTTTTATAGTTGTTTTCCAGATGTAGATATAAAAAGCACTATGCATTACAACCAATCACTGCTGCATCAGGAATTTGTCAACTAGTTATTCATAGGTTGCTTAACAGACCAACCACCACCTTATTACCACCATCCACAAGGCAACAAGATTGTCTTAAAAATATGAAGTTGTAGTCTTTTTTTATTGCTTCCACTGTTAGTCCCAAAGGAAATTAATTAGAGAAGTGTTACTTTGGGTGGTAAATTATTGTGGTGAGCTTCTCAGCAGTGTTGAGGTTTTCCAAGAATCTAAGGTAGGAGCAACATTGATTTTATCCCTGATGCTGTCCTGAAAGCAAAGCTCAATGGGCTAACGAGCTTTAGAGGTTCCATGCTAGCTTGAAAAGCAGAAGTAAAATGCAGATTCTTCAGCTGAAGAGGTCTGCTTAGATTTCCTAGGCACTTTCCTCCTTATACAAATCAGAGTTGAATTTAGGGCTGAAATCAGCTTCCCACAGAAATTCCTACCTTCAGTAGATACTACCCTGCACAAGACAGCAGTAGAGGTGAGCACAGAAAATGAGGTATCACCTGATTCCACCTTGTGAAACAGGCACTACACTTACACTAGAATCAAGGGCACAATCTTTATATCACATCCTTCCAAAAGGATACTACTTCTGCCATAGAAGGAGCATCTTTGTTAGTCAGCCTTAAGTATTTCAGTTGCCAAGACCACGTTACCCTTCTTACCCTTCCTTAGCTGCTGTTTCACACAGCTATGATTGTTGAGAATCTTCTCAGCACGTTACCTACTGTCCTCACCCTGACTTCCATGAGGGCAGGCCCAAACAGCCCCCACATACCAACCCTAGTAATCACAGCCTTACCCCACAATGGAACAAACCCCAAATAACGAACAAAGTAGAGACGTTAGCACACATGGGAGTCTTAAACTGTTTAAACACCTATTCATGTGATACTGAGACATTCATAACTTTTGTTTCCTTGTTATTGATGCCAGATTCAAGGTTATTTCCATCTTTTTTTCACATCTCTCAAAAAAAAAAAAAGATTTGATACATCTGATCATAAACTCACAGCTCCCTCTCTTGTCATTTCACTGAGATCTCAGGTATTTCAACCAGCATTTCTCTGCTTTGCCCTCACTAAAATCCACAGATACTGACTCCATTGACAGATTAAGATCTTCCTCACTTTCAGGCAGATGTGCAAAGCCTTTCCACTAGCTCCATTCATAATTTTTCTCCAGAAGTCATTAATTATTTACACTGCTGTTCTGTTAAAGGCCACAATGAGACTCTCCAGCTTGCTGGGAAATTTTTTTAATTGTATAAACAGGCAGAATGTAGTTAAACCTGATTTAATTATTACTATGGAAGAGCTTAAAAGTTCCAGTTCACTTAAAAAAGGAAGAAAAGATTCTGGTCTGCCTCTTCTCACCCCTCAATCCTACTTCTACTTTCTGGTTTTGAAGGTAGTCTAAACCATAAAAGAAAGGTTCTCTTAATTAGCACTGTGCTTCCTAGTTACAAGTCTAACTTAGCAAAGATCTTTGTTACAGTGGTAGTGGGGGCAGATCATCTCAGAAATAGAGCAGCTAAATCATGCATCTAACTTCCTTATCTGTCTTAAGGAGCTCACAGCTGAAGAGATCTGGCTGGAAGCATCTCTTACTCTGCACTCCGTACTACAGAGTATCTATTCTGACCACAGCAGCACAGTTCCTTCCCTGGTGTGCTCCTCACTCAGGCAGGAAACAGGCTGTCACCTGGACTGATGCTCACACACAATACACAGGTGTTGCAGGAGCACTGTGTTGCTGTCTGCAGGACATGCAGTACAGACATAAACTGAGGGAAAATAAAGCCAGCTGGAACAAGCAGTAATTCAGTGAGGGAAGTACTTTTATAGCCTAATTTTCTAAGGCGGTGAATTTTTGTTGAACTGTCAAGAAGCAGAGGAGGCTGTTGCAAAGGCTGGCAGGCAATATAGCCGCAGCACAAGCCAGGCCTAGCAGGAACACAGATGAGACCATGTAGAATGCTGGGCTCCCTGGATGGATCCAGGGCCAGCGCCTCTTCTGCTGAAGAGAAGTCATTTCCCTAATGACATAGGAGAAAACTTAAGGAGAGTTCAGTCAAATTTACTCCTTGAATGCTCCCAGTTGCACCTTTGGGTTGTTCATTAGCCTATGCTGATACAACCTTTTTTTCTTCTTCAATTTTTATTTTTAAAAAGATTATTAACAAGCAGTACTGCAGAACTTTATCCTCTCAAACTACGTAAAAGCTTATTTTTTCCACTTCTACCTATTTACTTCGTGTTTCTACAACACCAAATATTTTCAGTGCATCTACCTGAAATCTGTTCACCAAGCTCCAAGGCATTATGTGGAAAAAAAAATGCTTATAAATACGATGTTTCTAATTCAAACTTTTGCCTTTAAGATTGCCAGTACAGAGAAAGTTCATATAAAACTAAGAGCAGAAGCTCAGTTTGCTGTTACATTCTCTGCTATGACACACCTCACTTACTGTACATTACATGGTTGAACAGACATTAGAAATCTTACTTCCCATTGATACCTAAGTCAACATTTCCACTGAACACACATTCAAGCCTTTAATGCTCCGGAACCCTGGTACAATGCGAGTATTTCACCTTTCCTTTCACCATCAGTTTTCACAAATATGCCTTTACTTGAGGTCTCCTCTGAGATGAAGTAACCAATCATGTGTGATCTAAACACTTTTATTTGGCAGTTGGATTCTGAAAGAAAACGGGGTACCACCAATGCCACTAACGCGCACCGCAAGCAGTGTACACAGTGACTTGGACAAATAAGCACTCAACAAAAACATATGCGCTGAAGCTCCAATTTCCTACACTGCCCACTTGGAGAAAGGGTTGCCCTTTTCTCATTCCTCTTTCGAGAGCTGCAGAACTGCTGGGCAAGGCGCAGCCCACGCTGCTCCCCCAGCAGCCCCCCTCCTGCCGCTCCTCCTGGGGCCGACCTGCACAACTCTTACTGCGGATCTGCTTCCCCACACGTGTTTGCACTCTGTGCCCATTTCGAATGTTGTTTGTGAAATGCGCAGATCCATTAATAATTTAAGATTCAACAGGAACCCGGGGGCAGGAACATTCCATTTTTGCTCAGGCGATAGATGCTACTTCACTGCTACGTCAGCTCCAGTTACCTCTGTGCGTGCTGCGTTAATTCAGTGACTGGCTTTTCAAACAAAGTCCATTCACAAACAGAATCCGCGTGAGAAGAAACTCGAGCTTTTGCAGTAAACGCGCCAGATCGATATTCAGAAAGAAAAACGCGAACGGATTTTAACTTTGCCCACCGACTTTTCCAAACAAGGGAGGCAGCCGAAGCAAAGCCCTCCTCACGAACATGAAAGTCAGATCAGACGTACCACGAAACGCCTCAGCGCAGTACCGACGGCGTGCTCACCCAGTGAAAGAACATAAAGACTCTCAGCAGCATTTAGCAGCCCGGCACGCTGGAGGAGCGCTGCGCGGGACGGCGGGCGGCCGGGCAGGTGCCGCTCCCGCCGGGCAGCCGGGCAGCCCCTCACCCGCCTCAGCCGCTCCTTCCCCCGCTCCCGAGCTCCGGCGCAGCGCAGCCGCCTCCCGACCTCCCCCGAACCCGCCGGGCACGCCGCAGGAGCCGTACGGCTCCCGAGCGCGGTACGTCCCTCCCCGCCCGCCCCGCAGGACAGCGGCCCAGCCGCGCGTCTCACCTGAGCGGGAAGCGCGAGGAGAAGTGACAGCCGCCGCCCCCCGCAGCGCAGCGCACCGCACCGCACCGCACGGCACGGCCCGGCCCGGCGCCGCGGGCGGCACAACCAACCAACCGGCCTCCTGGGGCGGGCTGCGCCGCGCCGTCACGTGAGCGCGCTCGGGCACGCGGTGCCGTTACGGCCGTTACAGCCGTTGCGGCGCGCGGCGCTGTGTGGTGTTTCGCGCCTCGCCGTCCCGAGCGGGCGTAAGGCAGCACTGAGCGGTCTTTTCATCCCTCACGTCGAGGGCAGCGTCTCGCCTCCTTCCTGCCTCGCTTCCAGCTATTGAGCGGCTGCCCGGCGGGAAATCCTGACCCGAGGCACGCGTAATATTCATGCCGAATCCCGGCTGAAGACCAATTATAAGTCTGTTGTCCTGCTTTTTCCTCTGAGCGTCTGATTCCTGATCCGTGATGCACTAACCGAACTCGTTAAGGAGAGCAGTGCAGGCAAGCCGTAGGTAACCCAGCAGTTACATACAGCGTTTAAGAGGGTTGTGGTGCACATCAGGTACAAAATTCTGGTACAAAAGGAACTTTCTCCAACTTGCTTGATCTCTGTGGTCAGCCCTGGATTTGTGTGTGATTCAGGGGCAGTTTGGAGGAGCAGAGTGCTGAGCCCTGCTGCGCCTGCTGCAGTGACATCGCTGTTGGTGTGGAGGGTTACTGACAGCACGGCTCAGCTAGGCTGAGAAAAACCTGATACAGCACCCAGAGACAACTCAAGCTAGCAGTACGATGGAGATGCATGCCAAATTTGCTGTCAAATTGCTCTTCGGTTTGAATGGCAGAAGTTAGCCATGATTCTGTTTAGAACTAAAGAATCTAGCCCCCAAACCACGTAAATGAAAGCGAAAGTTGAGTTGCTGAACTTACTCTGCTTTTGATGCTTTCTATTTCATGTGCTTTCCCGTGGAGAGTCATGAAGGCCTGGAGGGCTGTACCTGCTGTATAAGTGTCATGCATGCTGTGTCAATATGCTACACTGTGCAGCAGGGTACGTAGGCCTGTATGGAGCTGCAGGCAGCCTTGGCTAGTCTGCCTGCAACACATATATCATTGCCTTAGGGTACTGGCAAGCACCTGCATACACAGTGCTTCATCTGTGAGAAGAATGTAGGAGGATGATCATAGGATTCTAGGAACTGGGTCTTGAAAATAAATGACACTCACCACTGTAAGCCCCTCACTATGGGCACAGAAAGAAAAGATGTTACTAAGTTGTCTATATTTTAAGATTTTGTATAAATCCTGAAAGCAAATGACCCTTGTTGGATGTGTGGTATCAAGGGAAAAGATAGGTTGTTGAGACAGAGTTACTGTCTAGATTGGAAGGATTCTTTTGCTTGGTAAGAGTTTATTCAGAGTTCTGGTAGCCCATATTCAGAAATCCAGTAAGCTTCCACTGTGCTTCCACAGCCACCTGAGCGCAGAAGTGTGTAGTTGTGCAATTCCAATTAGTACAAACTCTGTTTAAATTCCTGTAACTCCTGCTGAAAACAGTATCATTTGCAAGGCAATCCGAGCAGACAGCTGAGCTCACAAGGTTATCGTCTGTGTCTGTTCAGAAGATGGCCTCAAACCTTGTATTGGCTAATATTTAGCTCTTATCTCTGCTAAGAAAATCCATGCAAGATACAAGTCAACCCATGCAGCAGGTGATATCGTTTGCTTTAAATCAGCTGCTTTTGGTGAATGCTGAAGAACTTGTGTCTCTTTCATGCCTTTCCTTTGCACTTCACAATGAATTTAGGCTGTGTGAGAGGTGCTTGGCTGACAGTCCTGAAAATTGAACTCCAGATTAGGTCTAGCACGAGCAAGCAGGCTTCTCAGTGCTACCAGGGAGAAAACCTTGCGAGGTTGAGGGTAGTTCATTCATTTACACATGCAAAGGTGGGATTTCCTGGGGACTGTGACTGTTTCAGCTTAAGACTTCATGGAAAAATATAGCTAGATCAAATAACTTGATGAATATTTCAAAAAACAGTGTAAATTGCAGAAACCAACAAAGAAAATCTTACTATTTGGGTCTGTCCATCAACTGTTACAAAAGCTATCTGTCTTTGCAAAAGACTTTGCATCACAGGGATGAAGTAAGAGACAGTATAAATTAAATAATCATAGAAAATGCTTAAAGACTACATTGTAAGCTTAAAAAATGATTTTTTAATCACGTATTGCTTGATATATCAGGATATAATGATGAAGTAAATACATAGGTTTCTCCAAAAGTAATGCCTCCTATTTATTTCCATGAAAACTGGAATAAATATAAAGAGCACAGTAACACTATTTGATAGAGCAAATTCTTACCTACAAAACTACTTACAGCCATTAGCTATGTTTTTCATCAGGAAGGAACAAGAGGCTGCATGTAACACTTGACAAAATCTGCATCAGAGAAGGTGACCCACTGTCACTGTCTCTACTGCTGAAATGCAGCACTCGCTGTGCTCATATCCACTAGTTGATATCCATAAACGTTCAGAAAGTGTTGATGAATGTCAGTAGGTGCCATTTTTTTCCACATGGAAGAATTCAATTCCACACCTTTGCTTCAGCTGCGCTTCCATGTCAGACGTTGTTTGTCAGATTTCCCCTCTGCTGCCATCTGTTACATGGCAACAAAATGTGACAAATTGGTGGGAAGATTCAACCTCTGCTGTTGTACCACCACCATTTGCCTATGACAAACAGGGCCAACAGAATAAAATAGAAAACATTGCTTTCAGAGCAATCCTTGTAGTAGCAGGTATTGTCTTTTGAGACACACCAACTTTTCATTGATGTTTGAAGGCAATAAAATTTGATAAGTTTCCAATAATTTCCTCAAATATCAGGCAAACTCTCACATTATTACAAAAGAAAACTAAATATACTTTGATACCACAGTGTCAAGATGCCAAAAGTTTGCTAGATTGATCTAGGTAACAGAAATACAAAGGTTATGAGAAGGAAGCTTTGGAATCTGTATTTACCTATCAGTTAATGGAAAATATTTTTGTAAGTTGTCTGAAACTGGCATTGCAGTTAATTTTTAAACTGTCAAGTTCTTTCTTCACTACCATATAGTCACTGGGTCTAGGATATCTTACATTAAAACTATGTGCTGGATACTAAAACTATAAGTTCAATTCAAAAAAAGCAATAAATTAGTAGTCCATCTTTTTTCTAACATCTGATTATTCTGTTTCAGCCTTAAAGTACTGTTAAGCAGTACTGTGGAAAGCTAATAATCTTTACAGCATACTCACTCCGTTTTCACCAACTTTAATTTCTTATCTGTAATGCTTTTTGCAGACAAATTCATTTATACTTTTAAGATATAGCTTCCTTTTGTGCAAAATTGAAAGCCTTGAATAAGAAGGCATAGAGAGTGTGATATTATCCTTCAAAATAGGCATGGGATAGATCAGCAGAAGCCATGTAAATTCTACATTTGAAGGAATAGATTACTAAGTATTTTATTAAATTTCCTGTCAAGAATAGTTGGCCAACAGTTGTGTAACTTTTATGATAGTATCTTGAACTCAGACACAAGACAAACTGATAACCAGTCATGATGTCAGGACTGTGATTACATTGCTCCCCATTCACAGCAGAAACTGTGGTGACAAAAATATTTATGGTTGTGAGTCTCTTCATTGCTGCACCATTATAGATGAACTGCAGTTATGTTATTCTGACTACGGTAGCTTCAGATGAGTCATGTTTTCCATTATAAATCTGAGATAATAGATTTGAGAGAGGTTTTTGTTCTGTAGAAAAGTGATATAAAATCTGTGTGATTGGTGCATTTGTCCTCTTATTCAGCACCCACTAAGCAAATAGGATGGAGCTACACTGCCTAAGCTAACACTTGTGTTCAAACAGTGTCCAGAAGCATGATACCTCACATGGTTAACAAAGCTCAGGCCTTTGTGCTGTGCTGGAATAGAAGGAATAGGAGTGTTCATCTACTCAGTTCTGCAAACTGGGCTGTGATAACTGGGGAGGTCATACGGGAGGTAATAATGAGTTGGTTAGGGAAGTAAAGCCCCTGTGTTTTCCAACTAGACTTGGAAGACAGTGGCTCACTGTGCTACAATTCATTGAGAAGCTTTTAATATTTTACTCTCTTCTGCCACAAAGGTACTCTCAGAATTACGGCTGTGGTCAATATAGCCTTTTACTACCAAATCAGTAATGGGCTTCAGACAGTGGTATCCCATTGCAGAGTATTCTCTGACTGTGCCCATAACATCCCACAGGCTGTGCCCAGATCCGGCTTACATTTCCATCCCCTATTATTTGATGTTAGGGTAGCTGGAATTCCTGCTCTCCACATCTCTGTGTGGCAAAGATTTTACTGGCCATAACTCCCAAAAGACATCAGAATCACAGTGATTCATCTACTCAGGACTTTCAGAGCCTTTCTTAGAAAGCCTTGTGATGTCTTGAAGCTGTAATTTAACAAATCATTCCAAAGAGGTGAAATACACTATTCTTTCTTTTGCCAGCCCATATTTAAAATGCTGCATGGTTTGGTGGGAATTGTGAACAGACCAACAACTGAATGAAACCTCAGAGGGCATGCTATAAAATTTTGCTGAAGATTTAGATCATCTTTATAGGCTGATAGAATATTCTAATGCTGAAGCAGTGACCACAGTGAATCATTTTGTGATTGTACCAGAAAAATGTGTGTAAGCCTGGAAGAGGTTTGGCTGGATAAAGATACTGGCTTGGAAAATACATGAGAAGGAAAGAAAAAAATCATTGCCAAATTGTTGTAACAGTGAAATATTTTAGCCTGAGCAGAAATACTAGTTAGGTTGGGGAAATGCCAAATCTATAATACGCAAAGTCATGTATAGGGGATCCATCCCTAATTTTGGCAAGTCTACCTGAATCTCCCATTGCTTTATATCTCAGAAGTGGCAGGATTGAAGTGACAACAGAATTCCTGAAGTCTAGTGGTTCTTACAAATGAAATTCTACTAGCTCTGCTTTGACAGATGACTTCTGTTTATCCAGCATCATTCAAAGTAGTGTTTTCTTACAACTCTTTCTTGTTCAGTAGAAAAGCTTAAACCTGGTTGGACAAACCTATGAAGAATACACTCCAAAAAATGCTGGAAAGAACAATAGTGTTATGGAAGAAGAACAAGAGATAAACCCTTTCCTTCATTAATTTCAGTGGTTTAATAAAACACAATCAGTAAATGCATTTAGGCACACCTAACTAGTCTTACGGAAAGCACCAAATTCAGCAACTAAAGCTTATATGACTTCATTAGAAAACCCAATTGATTCAAGAAAAAAAGTCATAAAATAATGTAAGATGTTAGATTGTCTGAAGATTATCCATTCTTGAGTTCAGATGTAAAGCCAAGAGCAATAACTGATAAAAAAATTCCAATCTGATCCAATCCTATCCTATCCTATCCGTATGGGAACTGCTGAATCATAGCCTGAACCTCTGGCGAGCAATGAGTCAGCCCTGGGAGCACAGGTGAAGGCAATTCACCTGTGCTGCCGGAAGGGGTGGAGCCTGGCTCCACCTTTCCTAGACCCATTTAAGAGCTGACTACCAGTGGGAAAGGATCTTTTCTGGAGATCCCTCCTGTGGAGTTCTGTAGTGAGCCTGGGATACAGGTAAGTATTCTATCTATTCTGTTTTTGTTATTATAACCTCCTTAGCCAAAATCTCTTGTTTATTTCATAATTATTATGTCTTTATATTCATTGATAGTATGCTATCCTTTTTCCTATGTAAATGCAGAGTTCAGGGATGGGTTTAGCTTAAGGATGAAGTCCCTCCATTTGTATGGTTTGGTGTGCTCCTGCAACATTTGGTAAAAGCAGTGTTCAAAGTCTGCCTGGCCTGAGTTGCATGATTTAACCTCTGCTTGAAACCACTGTGGACTGTTGATTCTGCCACTACAGAGGATTTGTACTGGTGTAGCTGTGTTCCTAGCAAATCCTTAATATTACAAGCTAAGGCCTGTGATGCTACCTGGGTTTGGTTCTCAGGAACACTTCACTGTAACCTTTCACCATGCAGGGAGCATGAAATGCTACCAAGCCAGAACAGCATGGTTTTACTTAGCTTTACAAAGAATAAGCAATCAGTTGCAACTAATGGGGAATAAATCCATTGTGAATTAAATGCTGAGTAGCTGAAACCTGAGATGAATCAAGTTACTTGTTTGCCTGTGCATATTCTTCCAGGGACCAGTCAGTTTCAAAGAAAAATATAGTTTTATCTCTCTTTCTAGGTTTAGTGATACAAATGTCAGATTGCTTTGTGTGCCTTTGCTTCTGATCTGGGACAAATGAGGAAGATGGGAATTGCCTCCAATCCCTATCACCAAGGACCAAACCTCTCTTCAGTAGAATGCATGGGATTCTCCCATAAAGGTATTACTCTAACAAAAGTATCATTTTTCTAGTGACTGTAATGTCAGTTCAAGTACTGCTCGCTGTAAAAGAGCTCTGGAATGCATATTGGAGCTGCCATGCTTGCTTCTCTGTGCCCCCATTTATTCTGTTCATTAGTTAAAACAATTATGGATATGAAATGTGATTTTGTTCATGTCCTGACAAATATCTCTCACATCTAAAGAACTATGGCCAAAACAAGCCAAGTTCTTTCTCTACTACTAGAGTACTAGAAAAACAGTACCATCCAGTATCCTGGAGTATGATATGTACATGAAAATGGATACAGATATCTGGAAGCACAGCACTACTAATTATTCTGTTTTTGCAATGCCTTGTTTTTTGTTAACAATTACTGGGGGCATATGTCACTGAAATCAAGGAAGTTCTCTATTTTTTTTTTGAGATCAGTTACTGTGCAAGCTCCATCAGTGCTTTTAGTTATTGGTTACTACTCTGCTAGAACTTTCAGGAAGCACCAGAGTGCTTGAAGAATTGGTTTTTTTAATATTTCAGGAAAATTCAGGCACTTTAAAATTAAAGAAAAGCAGAGGACAGTTAGCATAAGCAGTGTTCTTGTAATTTGGCAGCCAGCTCTTCTCATGCACTGAAGTATACTTTTGACCCCTTGTGAAGAGTTTGTATATTTACTCATAAGTATGTGCTTCAACCTGTATAATTATTGATGATAGTACTTCTGTTCTTTGTCCATAAGAAGCATAAAATGTATTTTCATTATTCATTGAACTTTTGAATATTATGTTCACGCTTCTGTGTAGTTCAGAAAGCATGAACTCATTTTTTTTAAGTATTCTATTCGTTTATTGATGCATTTCTGAAATATTTTTGCTCATTTAATCGTAGTCTGTTGTGGATGTTTCATTTCTTTGTTCCTTGTTCAGTAGGCCTTTCGACTAATACACACAGTTTAGAAATATTTTTAAGGGGAGAGTGATTGTAGAACTAAATCTGGCTACAAATTCTGAAAAAGCAAAGTAACATAGGAAGAGAGCGCTGCCAGTTTAGAAGGCAGTGACTAGATTTGCTAAGAGTAGTTGCTACAAATTTATAAACCTGTTATTCCCAATTTTCTCTAAGTAGAAATTCTGAGATGTGAGATCAGGGTGTCAGTGAATCTTGAAGTAAGCAGTCAGACTTGAGAAATGAAGGTCTGGTGTAGCAGAAATACCAAGTTATGGCTTGAACTAGTGACTGAGCACCTGGTGGGAAGGCAGGGCTGACCCAGGGGAACTAAGGTGCATGCATGCAATGCACCTGAGTGACAGGAAGTCACTCCTTCCCAGACTTCATTTAAGAGTTGGCAGTGGAAGCAAGAGTAAGATCTTTGCTTACTTGAGGCCTTTCAAGAGTGAGTAATTTCTTTTCCTTGGTTTCTGTGCCTATTGTCACTGCACTTGGGCTTATTCTCACTTGCTGCAGCCTAGGACTCTACCACTGTGCTGTTATTGCTGTGCTTTTCATTGTACTGTAACACTATACCTGGCAACCTGATACTACAGGAGAGCCTACAGGATATAGAGGCTCTGTGCTATAAAAATGTATTTGAGTTTATAGCTATGCACCAGTGCATGTCCCTGCCAGGTATGGAGAAGGAGGTATTCTGTAAGCATAGTCTTTAGGAGTTTTCTTCTTGTCAGCAGGTCAAACTCTACATTACTTGGGCTCAAAGCATTTACAGGGTATTAATCTGGTAAGTAAGATAAAAATAAGGAGTCAACATCAGTACTTCTGGCTATAGAAAGCTTCCTCTCCTCTCTTTCCACCCCTGCATTTGTTTTGGCTCTGTGAAAGATAATGTAGCAATCCGTACTGTTATCTGTTCTGTTCTATCACTTGTGCTGTACTGTATTGTGGCTCCTAAGAACAGAAAATATAATGAAAAAAGGTGTCAAAATCTGGAGTTAAAACCCAGGTTCTCTTTAAATGTCAAACTTGTTTTCTAAAAGCTGTCTGTCTTTTTTACTCTGAAGTTTGTTCCTGAGGATAAAAAACCTCCCAAAACCTGTAGCCTTGTTGACATAATGCAGAAAGCCAATCATGTGGCAAGGGCCTGGTGTGGTATTAAAGTGGGTCATTAGGAAGAGAACTAAGAAATAGCTTGTGATTGGCCATGGTAAAATTGATTAATGAAGCACATAGATTCATCTAGAAGTATTTCAATTTTTAGTCTGCATTTTTGGGCTTTCAAGCACTCTTTAATTATTCATTGATAATTGATCCTGCTGAGAAGTAAAAGCAAAGAGCACTGCTGACTGTACAGTGAAAATAATATGGATTCATATCTACGCTTTAGTAGCAGAATGAGGCAATATAAGCAGCAAGGCCCATAACTCAAATTAGTGGAAATCAGAGAAATTATGAAGTACAGTGATTTTTTTTTTGTATGAAATTTGTATTTTTGTTAACTTGTATTCAGTAGAACTGAACTATAGTAGACTGCTAGATTACAGTCCTGGATAATAAGGCTGTGGCTTTCGCAGTTAGAAAGCTACCAGGAAATGAAATGAGAGAGCACTTCCATGACTCTGCCAGGGCACCTTGTTTGTTTGTGTCTCTGTTGAATTCTGTGAGTAGAAGAACTGAGAAAGATCTGAGTGTGCAATAGCTTTTCTTGGGGATCTGGCAGCATCTGCAGAATTTTCCCTACAGTTGGGATCTTCAGTGATTGAGATTTGCTCGATATTAGAATGAGACTGGGTGCATGGATATAAATAAATGGTCATGCTGTAAGACCTATTGGTTTTCAAGGGATTCTTTTCTCACTTACCTGGCTTCTGGTAAAATACGCTCTTTCATCTCCATTGTGTAACAGACTAGGGCTTCTGAGCTGAAGCCTGATTTTTGGTGCCTGCTGCAATGTAGGAGCAACCTCCCATACAGTTCAAATTATCAGCAAGACTATTTCCACGGACTTATTAGCTTAAATTTTTCTTAGGCTGATGTGGTTATGCTGCTTTCAGTTCTGGGGCAGTGTGGGGGCTTCCTGTTTGTGTGTGGTACAGCTCCCTTCACCATGTTCTGTGGAGATAGCTGGCCCATTGTTAGTATCTTTTTTTATGCTGATACACAATTACAGGAATTTTCTCAGCCTTAACCAACTTTGTAGGACAGCATCTCTAACAAAGGATTTGCCAGTGAAAATAAAGATGTTAGATTTCTAAGAATTTAGAAGGGAGGTAGAATGGTGGGTTGAAGGTGAAATAAGGTTCTGTAAATAAAGACTTTGCTGTTTACCAATGCCTGCATATGGAACAGTTCAGTGAATTTTAAGCCCATTACTCTGCTGCCTTACCACACATTTTCCCTATTTGCAAATCATAGGGTGACTGTTGAAGAAGATCATGCGTCTCAGAGCATGTGGGTAAATGGAAGGTTAAACACTTTGGTATGCAGGTGAATCTTGTGCAGTCAATTCCAGTGATATCCTATTTAGACAAAGGAGTCCCTAGTTCTGGGGAGAAAAGGGGAAGGTGAAGGAGAGGCTATTAAATATGACTTTAATGTTACACTGCAGGGGAAAAAAGACTTGGGATTTGTTTCTTGTCTGCAACTGGGTCCCTAGCAGATGTGTGGATATGCTGAGTGTTTGCCCAGGTGTTCAGGAAGGCAAGAGGGTGGGAGCTGGGCCCCGTAATCCTGTCTATGTCTTTCATCAGATGGCAAGTGGATGGAGAGAGCCTGGAACTTGGCTGTATCCTATAGAATAGTCACTGTTTCCTTGCTTGGGCATAGAAGGGGCCAGATATTGACTTTATGTGTACTATATTCACATAACGAAGCAAGAGACTTTAACAGGAAGGGAAATGTTGTTTTTCCCATAGAGAGATGCTAAAATGTGTCCAGAACTGTGGTGTCTGTAAATAATATAGCCAGTGTTTTGATAATCCAAAGATTTAAATCAGTCATAACTATAAAATTCTTTTCTACATGGAGCTTAAGGCTTAACTGATCAGAAAGTATTTCCATTGGTCCTTTACAGTCAGTCCTACCACTGCTTTCTGCACACTTTCACTGTATAGTAGCTAAAGGAAATGAGTATCAACAGTAAGCTCAGAGGTAGGGAAGCTTTTTACATTCTTACATTCACTGAATTTCTACACCATTGCATGTGATAAAAGGATGTCTATTAGCAGAGGGCAGAAATTGCATGTTTTGTTAGACTTGGAGATAGCTTGATATGTTGTTCCTTTTGAACATCTGGAATATGATGCTTGTGCAGCTGGGCGCAGTTAAAGATGAGAGAAAGGAGCAGATCCTGTTGTTTAGTACAGCAGTTTACAAATGTATACCTAACTGGAGAAAAAAATCACTAAGTATTTCAGGGAGTTAATAGAAAGGGCATGGGACAGGAAACTTCTTGTCAGTAGGCTTTTGGAGGGATTCCAATAACAATGTAGAATCTGAGGTGTGGTAAGACATAGATTCAGTGAAACAACTGTGGTTGGCAAAGCATTCCTAAGCAGTTTTGTGTGAGGAGGAGGTATGAAAAGAAAGGCACAGAGGCAAAGGGATGTATAATCTGGTATGCTATACTTCTTGAAATGAATGGTAGGCTGGCCACTCTGTTTTCTAGTGTGCTGCAGCAGAGAGCACAGCTACCTGAGTACTTCTGCTTTCACAGCTGACAGTCACTGAGAGTATAGTGAGGCTCCACGGTCATTGCACACCAGATGCTGTGTAAATGTAAATGCAATTTATCTTAGAAAGGCAGTAAGGTGGCTTGCACCTCTCAACCTGCCCTGCCCCTCCCCGCCCTCCAATAAACCACCTGCCTTTTTAGCAACTTTGACATCACAGAGAGAGAGGCCTCTAATTGCATTTTTTTTAATTTAATTGCACACAATAAGTGGGTGCAGCATAGCGGAAATCAGCTATAAACTGACTGGGAGAATAACCTAATCTGCCTACATATAGGTCTGGTCTGCTAAGGTAGCACTGTTAGACACAGAGGTGGAGAG